CATGATTTTGCAAGACATAACCTCCCATTTGTTCCAATGTATGCTGTTCATCTAGAAAAGGTGGAGGGGATGGTTTAAGGTAGTCTTGCAGCTGTACACAGTGCAGCATAATTAACACTTTCATATGGTACAGACTCTGAATCCTTGTATGTACACATTTTTAGGGTTTCTCTTCAAACAATTGGCTCAAAAATATTTTTTCCTCAGCCAAACAACTCATCTTCTTTGGCTTGTTCCTGAAAATCCTATTTCCTGGAAAATCCTGTCTTCTCATTTCCACCTAAACTGCCAGTCGTCTGTAATGTGTGATATTGTTTCTACAATCATTTAAGAAAGGAAGTCTGTTAGGGTTAGACATTATAGCTTTTTTGGAATGTCTAACATAATTTAATTCTTCCTCATCATCTTTCAGCAGTTGTTAAAAATATTTCAATGTGTAGAAACACATTTCTCAAGCCCATTCCTAACTCATAGTTCAAACATTCTCCATAGTACCAAAGTCATGACTAAAAGCTGGATATTTTAGAAAGGGGGTGTTAAATCTTTCAGGCCACTAGGGTACCAATTAGAGCATCAACTATGAAGACAGCTTCATATTCTTGAAATAATCTCAGCCCTGGGGAGAGAAGGATCCCTTGAGCTCCATCAGCAGGAAGCACAATACACAACAGCAACCTTATGTAATGGTGACTGAGTATAAGTCCAGTGTCAGAGCTCACTGACACACCTTTTCACAGGTAGCTCTTATGGAATCCTTACTCTGTGTCAGGCACAGAAGCTAGATCACTTATCTATGTTCACATAGAAACTGATGGTACCAGGAACTGAGGGCAGGCAGCTGGATTCTAGCACTCTAGTCCTCAGACACTCTGCTGTACCATTTCTCAGAACCAGGAAATGAACTCCATGTCATTATTCAGAGAGACAAAGCCCCACAAACATTACATATGCCTGAAGAAGGTCTATAGCCCTGACTACAGACATGCTGTTATCAGCTGATGTTAGTTAAATATGATGATCAGTTGGAGTACACCAGTTTTCTTAGTATAATTGCAGAGATGAAAAAATCAAGGGATCTATTTCTTCAACCATTGGAGACTGTGGTGTTCCTCAGCTTTCCGTTACTGTGACAAAAATGTCTGAGATCAACAGCTTATAAGGAGGAAAGATTTATTTTGGCTCCCGGTTTTAGAGCCGGGCTCACTTGATCCTGTTGCATTTAGCCTTTGGCAGCATATTACATCATGACAGGAGCATGTGGTGGAGGAGGCCTGTTCACCTCATGGTAGCCAGGAAGCCAAGAGAGAGAGGAAAATGCTGGGGGGTCTCAATATCCCCTCTAGGACATGCCCCTGTAATCTAAATTCCTTCCACTAGGTCCCACCCCCTAAAGGTTGGACCACCTCCCAATAGTGCCACAGGTTGGCAACCAAGCCTTCAACACATGGGCCTTTAGGGGACATTTCAGATTCAAACATTGGGGGACATTTGGACAGCAACTATCTATTAAAAATTAGTGGGCATTACTCACTAATTGATTCTTTTGTGAATTATCATAGCATCAAAGAATAATGAGGTTGGAATGGACTTTGAGATAGCATCTAGCAATTGAATCTGGAAAAGGAGATTAACATATTTTTAGTGATAAGCAAGGTTATATCCTTCTATATTTTTTGTAGTGCTGGGGATTGAATTCAGAGCTTTACACATGCTAGGCGAGTGCTCTATCACCAAACCCCACTCATTGTCCTCCTCTCTTGAATATCTATACCATCCTGCATTTCTTTATGCACCTAATTCAGTGTGTGCACAATTTACCCTCATTGGAGGGTAAAATCCATCAGCCTGTTGCCATTTTGCTCACTGCTGTGTCTTCTGTGCCTAGAATTCTACCTATACACAGAGACATGCCCAATACTTATGTGTCTACTGGCTGGCCTAGCCATTCACTAGCTCACCTAAAATAGGTGTGCAACAAGCTTGCTTTATGACCCCCTGAGGGAATAGCTGTATGATACAATGTGACTTTCCAGAGAGGAGAGAGGTCCCAGAGCAGATTGCCAGGGTCAGTATCCTGACTGCACAGCCTGTTAGCTCTGCAACTTACATAAGGTCTCAAGACTGCCTCAGTTTCCTCTTAATTAAATGGGGGATAACAATAGTACTGGGCTTCCCTCAGAGTTGTTCTAACTAAAACACTGAAGATTCACTGTACACATCCCTTGGATACTCCATCTTTCCACATCCCACCCGTAACTTAGTGGCAGATGCCCAGTGTCATCACTTGGGAAGGTGGGAATCTTCCCACATGTTGCAAACTAAAGGGTTATCTGTTCTAACCTTTCCCCAAAAGAATGCATAGCCTGTGAAGATAAGCCTTTCCAGGAACTCATCACTTTGGCTGCCCCAAAGCATTGGCTGCCATCTTTCCTCTATAATTAAGCACTCATTTGAATTTAGTTAAGCCCAAACTCTTCCACAGAGTTTACAATGTCCTTCTAGATCTGAACTCTGTTTAACCTGAGCGCCAACCTTCAGCCTTTCCTCGAGGACTCTCATACTCCATTTTACCCACATAGAATTGGTTCTTAGGAAACATCACGTGCCACCCCCGCTCCTGCCACTCTTTTTCACATGCTATTCCCTCAACCTGGCATTTACCTCCTTAGCCCTAGGTCTCAGTGAAAACATCACTTCCTCTAGAAAGCTTTCCCCAACCTCTCAAGAAGTGAGTGGATGCTCCCCCTTAGTAAAGGCACTGTGTTCCTCATCGAAGCAGGCATCACTCCAAACTGCAAATTACTTGTTTCTGTGTCCCCATTAGTCTATAAGTCCAATGCTGCGTCACTCACCACTGTATGTCCTCCTAGCTTAGTAAGCGCTCAGTAAATAAATACTTGTTGAATCAATGAGTGAGGTAATGAGTAAAAAATAGAGTTAAATTTGGATTTTCTTGTCAGTACAGTATGGCTATGGGAAAACTGCACATTTGTTATTAATTTTTAATTTATTTGAAGTAATAATTGAACTTTCTTTCCCAATTAAAGAATCCCAGTTGAGCCTTATCAGACAAGATAAGCTCTAAAATCATTCACTAATTTGGTCCAATGCAAAAAGCTTCTGCATGTTTAGATTCTCATTGACTGCTATTGGTTTTTAAAAATAAGTTATCTCACGCTGTATTTGTGTTGGTTGGAGTATTCAGATGCAGTTGTTTATTTGAGAAGCATTTATCAACACTTGTGCCGGTAGTGTCATGCAGTGTAAGATGACCAGGGCAGAGGTTAAGGAAGGAAGGTAACCGAGTCCTTCCTGCTTGGGGCTCCGTATTTGCAGATGAGAAAAACTGGCTCAGAGATGGCATGACTTGCCAACTGACAAATAGGTGGTGGCAGACCTAGAACTTGAGCCCAGATGTGTCCAGTCTAAGTGCAGATTATACCCTGCTGGACCATGCCACGTGTCCCTTGACTCTTAAGAGCCAGGTGAAAGCCCAGGTTGAGAAATATTGCAGATTCATAGGATGGATAACACCCAGGAGAAACCTCCCTGGTACTCAAGGCATGGTGGCACCATTTTGACCTCCCATTTCTTGACAAATGGACCATTCTCATTCAGGCATTTTGCTGGAGAATATCACATATCTTCCCTTGTTGGAAAGGGAAGAGCAGCCTGTTTCAAAAAGTTTTCCATCTTAATATGTGAGCTGAAAAATGACAACTTAATAAAGGCATAGAGTTTGGGCTTTTTCTCCAGTCTTTGCTTTACATCAAATCAAAGAAATCTAGGTCCACATTAAGAAGAGTAAATTATCATTGGGGAGACTCATTAGTTTGTTTACTCAGCATAAAATTATGTCCTCTGTAAACAGGAATATCAAATACCATAAAAATCATCGGGTGATTTACATTTTCTTTTTGATTAGAGGATTCCATCCACTGTACTCAAGGAAGGAAAATCTCTCCCATTTAGCTTTTGAAGATCAAAGAGGCCATTAAATATACCATATTACCCAGCATTTTTTCCTTTTTTTTTTTAGTTAAGGCTAGGTGGTGCTTTACAAATTGAGACTGTCATAGGGAAAAGGGAGGGCCTTATTTAGGGTCATCTGCAGGAATTATGGACTAGTCTGCTTCCCTCAGACAGGACTATATACTTAACCTTTCATTCAAAAAGGGCTGCCCTACAGTTTCCCGTGCACGCTGACCTGTCTACTGAGTTCTGTACACATCAACCCGAGGGCCAAGAGAATAAAAACTTTTCAGGGAGCTACTGTATGATTCTAAGCCTGGAGGATCTTTCGGTAGCATATTTGATAAAGTCTACAAAGACAAAATGAAGTGAAAAACAAAATTGCTGAAAAGGATGCTATTTAGGTAGATGACTATGTAGGTAGTCAATTGGGATAAAACCTGGCTTTCTTCCCAAAAGGAACAGACTGAAGCAAATGTTGTCTAGGCAACAATCCACTCTTGTCTTCCTAGATAAATAATCAAATGCGCATACTGCCTGCTAAAGTGTAAATTGTAATTTTATCTTCACCAGCTGAAAGACAAGGAGGAACGTCCAAGATCCTTGTTGATGTGCACAGATAACAGAACTCTTTGAACCAAGTGATTCCTTGGTTTTTTAGTTGTTTTTGGCAGTACTGGAATTTGAAGTCAGGGCCTCATGCTTGCTAGGCAGGTGCTATCCCCCTTGAGCCACTCCCTCCACCAGTCCCAATTTTTTTGGTTTAATGTTGTAGATATTTGTTTTCTGGCATATAAATTTTAACTTTCCTCCATTTTAAGACATATTTCAATGAACTTGGGTAATTAAGACCTTTTTATCCTTATGTGTAGTGTGTGGATATAATTCGAGCCTGAAATACATCTTTAACATATAGATAGTAAAAGGGAAATTGGAGGAGAAAGATTGAGATTGATTCCAATAAACTGCGTACAACAAGTAGATTTATTTTGATTAAGGACTTGCCATTTCTTTTCTGCTTTGAGCAGCCAACAACTGAAAGATGACAAATATTCAGACCTCCGATATGATCCGAACTGGAAGATTAAGAAAGAAGAGGAGCAGCTGTTGGCAGTAGAAGCCTTGCCTAGGTCTGCAGACAGCTCTTCTGAAAATCTGCCTTTGGTTCCACTCTACCCTTCCAAGGAGACTTCAATGGAGCTCTCAGGGGAAAAGACAAAGAAAAAAGGAGTCCTCAGAGCGCAACCTCCTTACTCGGAAGCGAATTTTTAAGCCCAAACTATGAACATGGTACCCATCACAATGAGTCCTTTTCAGAGCTAAGTGACAGTGACCGGGAAGAGAAGTCAAGCAACCTCTCTCAGTACCTAAAGAGTTCAAGTTCACATAATGAGGTTTTCCTGCCAGGGTCACGTGGCCCTCAGAGAAGGAAGTCCAAGCAGTACTTTGTGGAAAAAAACAAGCTGACTTTGGGATTACCCACTCCTAAAACAGACTCTTACCTTCAACTTCACAGTAAAAAAATGGGGGACACTCATCCAGAACAGGTAGGTGGAAGCTGCTTAAACCTCTCTTCTGAAACACTGAAGTCGAATTTATGTTTGTTCTAAATGGCTGAATGTCCCTTCTTTGGGGATGACTATGTCATTATAACCATTTGCCCAGGTAAAACAAAGGCTTCTACTACACTCTATATGATGTCCCTTCTAGGAGAATGAGGAAAATCATTCCCCATGTTCTTAAGACCAAAATAAAAGCCATCAATGGTTTACAGTGCTGTAATCGCTCTAATTCAACTGCTAGATCCAAAACATCCCCATTCAAGGAATCATGGGAATTTTTTAGATTATTTATTCCAATAGATAAAAGATAGGAATAAGCCTTTGATTCTTGCCCATGACCTGCGTGGGTATGCTGCCTGAACCTGACTAAGAACCTGCGTGGGTATGCTGCGTGAATGAGAAATAAGACAAACACAGACGTAAAACAAAAGTGGGATCGGGAGGACTACACGTTCCTGGTAGGAAACGTGAGCGCCTACCTGAGCCAGAGTGTCTATTTTAATAGGTCAGTACCAGGAAAAGACTCAGGTAAAAATCAAGCTTCAACAATTCTTGATGCAAGGTGAAAGGAATGAGGTTTGGTGGGCGAATTGTCCTAAGGCTACTGAAGCTTAATTACAGAACATCAGTTCTGGAATCATCAAGGCATGCAGGACATGATCTAAGGTATTGATTAGTCTGGCATCAGGGAGTCTCCAAATAGTTCTGGTACTTTATCTAGTTTTGCGTCAGGGGGTGGTATGCAGACACAGCGGGTTGTATTCTTCAAGGAGATGTGAGAACAAAGGTCACGACACCAGGTACTGGGAAAAATATGGTAGGAGACACTGTGAAAAATCATACCATGGAGAGGCTGTGCAAACTCCATCATAATACCAGTCCAGGGTTCATGCCTGGTCACCAACAGATTCCCTGTGCTAATGGCTTTTGTTTCTACCATAGCACTGGTTTCAACCCTACTAAATGCCCCCAACACATAGGAGATGACACAAACCACTGTATCAATCACCACAGCTCACATACAGGAGTGATTCTGAATTCAGATTCTGTGTACATGTTGTGTGGTCATGGGAAGTGAGGACAGGGCACAGCCTGAGGCATTTTTCTTTTGAATTCTTCAAATGGCCGTGTCAATTTCCATTGATAATCATGACACCGTTCTTTTTTGTCCTGTGTGGTAGATATTATTAGACCTTATCTCTCCACCTAGCTCCATCTGATCGTTTTGAGAGCAAATTCTCTCCCAAATGGTGGATTCAAAATCCATTGTAGCTGGCGCTGGTGGCTCACGCCTGTAATTCTAGCTACTCAGGAGGCAAAGATCAGGAGGATCTAGGTTCAAAGCCAGCCTGAGCAAATAGTTCAAGAGACCCTGTCTCGAAAAAATCCTTCACAAAAAAACAGCTGGTGGAGTGGCTCAAGGTGTAGGCCCTGAGTTTAAACCCCAGTACCGCAAAAAAAAACAAATCAAAACAAAAAAAAAACGCTTTTTGTGGCAAGTAATCTTTGTTCTGTTTCATGGGCACACACAGGATCCCACCAGCCCACCTCTTAGTGAACACATCATGGACACAAGAAAAGTGTGGCTAGATCATACAATCCACCACCCTTATTGGAAAAGAGCTGGAAATTAGTCACCTACTCATTTGGAGTAATTTTCAAATATGTAGGAGAGCCTATTACGGTAAAGCTGGGTTCCCTTAGACCAATTCCAAGTAATACCCAAGTGGTATTATTTATCGTACTTTGCCCTGTTCTAACCTCTGAGCATTTTCTTCATGCAGCACCTTAGATCACTTGGCCACGCTAGCCAGCTCCTCGGAACATTTTCTATGGGGTGGTATAGATAAGGTGGAGGAACAGTTGTAATTCTGGTAGATTCTGAAATCTCTTTTACAGTCTCGAAGGAGTATGTGATACCTTTGCCTTTGTGGGTGTGGCATATTTAGCTGAATTATCAAACAAATACTTAGCTAAATTTAAGCAGCTTTTAAAACTTTTAATCCAATTTGAGGTGTTGTTCATGTACTATTTTATTTCATAAATAAATTTCACTTCATTGCTTATTTAAACATATAACTGAATCCAATAGATGTGAAAAATGTCTGTCACTAGCAGTCTCTTCCAGATTAGGATAATATTTTTCATTACTTTTTAATGTGTTCCCAGAAAAAGTGGACCTTAAAGAAGAGGCAAATAGGCCAAAAGAAAGAGTTACATTTACGATAAAAAGGGGGAAAGATTTGTTATAAAATCTTCTATTGCCAATTACTTAATTTCTAATTTTGTTAGTAGCTATCAGCTAATTTACCAAACAATGTTAGAATGAATTGGTTGGCAGTGACTTCACAGTCAATATTTTTTTTTGGCAGCACAGGGATTTGAACTCAGGGCCTCATGCTTGCTAGGCAAGTGCTCTTATCACTTGAGCCACATCCCCAGACCTCTTTTCTTTTGTTATTTTTCAAATAGGATCTCTTGTTTTTTGCGCAGGCTAACCTGGACTGCATCCTCCTATTTATGCCTCTTGCACAACTGGATTGATAGGCATGATCCAACATGCTACATTTATTGCCAACTTTTTTCCCAGGCCGGTCTTGAATAGTCATCCTCCTAATCTGTATCTCCCAAGTAGCTGGGATTATAGGCATGAGCCACCATGCCTAGCAATAGCCTAATTTTTTTATGCCACATAACATAATCTAACCTTGTTAGATTTGCTCTATTTGTAGGCTCTTGAATTCCTATTTGAAAGGGCCATTGACTTTTTCCTCCACTTTCTCCAGGTCCAAAGGTCTGAAGGTTGATAGCTAATAGCAATCCACAATGATTTCTTTACCATTTATTGGCACGTATTTCCTTCTTCCTACTCTTATTCGTCTCAGAAGACTAGAAATGAGTTTGACCTATCAGTGACACAATGGTGTGTGTGATTTGTTGTATGTACCACGTTAACCTAGCTAACCTTCAGGTGCTGATCCAGGAGCTCTGAGCTGGGACCCAGAGTGTACAGCTCTCACAAGGTCCCAGGGGATGGCTTGATGAACACGGCTAGAATAAAGAACATGGAGGCTTTATCAGAGACCTAACACAGCGGCCTGCGTCAGAGCCCAAGTGTTATTCTGCTGACTTGTGGTAGGAGGCAAGAAGGCAGATTTGGAGGCTGTTATTTTTCATTTGTGGATATGTATCTTCCCCTTGTAATGTATTTGAAAGAGATGACAAATGCCACACGAAACTGAATGATTCAATGACATTTTCTTGAGTAAATAAATATCAATTACCATTACACAGCCAGGGAACCCAGCTTTAATTTTTAATACACCATTTTGTTGCAGACATCTAGGACTAGCTGAACCTAACAGTGTCTAAATGCAGTTGATTGCATTGGGGAAGATTTCAAAATAAGTCTAAGTATACAACATCTAATAAATATGTAAACTGTGGTTTCTGTTTTTGGTTTTTGCTTGTTTTTGTTTTTTTGGCAGTACAGGGTTTGAACTCAGGGCTTCATGCTTGTCAGTCAGCCACTAGCCACTCTACCACTTGAGCCACTGCAGCAGCCTTGTTTTGTGTTTTGAAATAGGGTCTTGCCAGGTATCTCAGACTGGTCTCAGACTCAGTCCTCTACCTTAGCCTTTTGAGTGTGTGGATTACAGGACTATGCCACAATACCCAGCTCAACTGAGGTTTTTTTTTTAATGAAAGTTGAAAAGCTTATTATTAAATTAATATGAAAAATAGGCAGGCATATTAAAGAAAGCTCCAAGCCAGACATGGTGGTGCACACCTATCATCCCAGCACTCCTATAATCCCAGCACTCAGGAGGCTGAGGCAGGAAGATCAGGAGTTCCAAGCCAGCCTGCTACATAGCAAGACTCTGCCTTAATTTAAGAAAGAAAGAAAAGAAATAGAAAGAGGGAGAGGGAGGGAGGGAAGGAGAGGATAGAGGCCAATTTGTTCATGTGTGTATAATATGCAAATATGGTCCTTGAGAAAGTAAAACATTTCTAGGAATGAGAAGGAAGGGTAAAGGAGGATGAAGGATGGGTGAATTGAAGTGTGATACATCGTAAGAACATTGTAAATGCCACAATGTATAGTACAACAATAATATGATAATAAAGAAATTTTTTAAAACCTTTGAAAATCAAAAAAAGAATGTAAAACTTTATGGCCTTTGGAGCCAGGTTGATTTGCACTGCCACACACACTAGCTGTCTAGCACAATCTGACCTGCGCAGATTACTAAACCTCTTTTTCTTTCTTCTTCTTCTTCTTTTTTTTTTTTGGCAGTACAGGAGTTTGAACTCGGGGCCTTGCTAATGCTTGCTAGGCATGCGCTTTACCACTTGAGCCACTCCACCAGCCCAGGTTACTGAACCTCTGCCTCAGCTTTCTCATATGGAAAATGGGATAATAATAATACTTTCCTCATAAGATAATTAAGAAGACTAAGTGAACAGGTTATATATGAAGAGTGCTTAGATTAGATTAGTGCCTGCTTCACAGCAAGAACTAAGTAGATTTTTGCAAATTTTTTGTTTGGCCCAATAGATTCCCTTCCTAGGAATTTATCCTAGATATGTATGTACAGTTTTGAAATCACACTTGTACAAGATTATTCATTTTGTCCTTATTTGTGCTATTGAAAGATTGGAAGCCACTCAATTACCTGCCATTTGGGGAGTAGTTAAATAAGTTATGGTACATCCACACAATAGACTATGCTGCAGCAGTTAAAAAAATGAAGACATCCTTCACGAGCCTATTATGGACAACTTAACAGGATTATTACTAAGAGAAATTCAAGGTGTAATACACTGAGTTCAGTATTTAAAAGTGGTAGAAATAAAAACATATATATCAGACCAGTATGATCATGCACACCTGTAATCTCAGCACTTGGGATGATGAACAGGAGGATTGTAAATTCAAGGCCAGCCTGGGCTACTTAGCAAGACCTTTTTTTTAATAGTTAACC